AGTTGTAATTTTCTATAACCTACACTCATTTTAATAACAACAATTATATTAGGCATGATTTATGTACCTTCAGTTTCTATGAAGATTTGACTTACGATACTGTTTGTGTAGGGGGGAGTCCTACTTGGTCCTTCAGCTTTAGGGCGCAACCATAAGTATCTTCATGCTCTTTTTCCACCCAGAAGCCTTACAGTTTTGGATACCCTTGCCAACCTTGGTCTCCTCTTCTTTATGTTCCTTGTTGGCCTTGAGCTGGATCCAAAGTCTCTAAAACGTACTGGGAAAAAGGCATTAAGCATTGCCCTTTCTGGAATTTGTGTTCCATTTATTTTAGGAATCGGGAGCTCATTCGTGCTTCGAGAAACTATTTCCAAAGGTGTAAGTCATGGTCCATTTCTGGTTTTTATGGGAGTGGCACTTTCTATCACTGCCTTTCCTGTGCTGGCACGTATTTTAGCAGAACTTAAGCTTTTAACCACCGATGTTGGTCAAATAGCCATGTCTGCTGCAGCAGTCAATGATGTGGCTGCTTGGATTCTACTTGCTCTGGCTATTGCCCTATCAGGCACCCACAGTTCTCCCCTCGCTTCATTGTGGGTCTTCTTGTGCGGGTTCGGTTTCATAGTTCTATGCATATTTGTTGCCCCACCTATCTTCAAATGGATGGCACGACGCTGCCCTGAGGGTGAGCCAGTAGATGAGATATACGTATGTGCTACATTGGTTGCTGTTTTGGCTGCTGGATTTGTGACTGATTCTATAGGAATTCATGCTCTCTTTGGGGCTTTTGTTCTCGGAGTTCTTGTCCCGAAGGAGGGACCCTTTGCAGGAGCTCTTGTGGAAAAGGTCGAGGATCTTGTATCTGGCCTGTTTCTTCCTTTGTATTTTGTCTCAAGTGGATTGAAGACAAATGTAGCCACCATTCAAGGCACTCAGTCATGGGGTCTTCTTGTTCTGGTCATTTTTACAGCTTGTTTCGGAAAGATTGTTGGTACTGTTGTCATCTCGCTGCTCTTCAAAATGCCTTTTAAAGAGGCCATTAGTCTGGGTTTCCTCATGAACACTAAAGGATTAGTGGAGCTCATTGTCCTTAACATTGGGAAAGACCGAGGTGTAAGTTTTTGTTCGACTTTGAAAAATTCAAGATTGCACTGGATTCTCAAATCCATATTTGATCATTTTCTATTTTCTTTAACGTTCAGGTTCTGAATGATCAAACATTTGCTATCATGGTTTTAATGGCTTTATTCACGACATTTATAACAACGCCTCTTGTTATATCTGTATACAAGCCAGCTCAAATGGCTACATCACAATACAAGAACAGAACGATTATGAGGAAGGACTCAAATAGTCAACTCCGAATATTGACCTGTTTCCTGAGTACAAGAAACATTCCCACATTGATTAATCTCATGGAGGCTTCACGTGGCATTGGAAAGAGGGAAGGACTTCGTGTCTATGCTATGCACCTGATGGAGCTTTCCGAAAGGTCATCTGCAATACTAATGGTCCATAAAGCGAGGAAAAATGGGATGCCATTTTGGAATAAGTGGCAAGATTCTGATCCGAACCAAGTTGTTGTTGCTTTTGAGGCATTCCAGCATCTTAGCCAAGTGTCTATCCGACCAACAATTGCAATCTCAGCAATGTCCAGCATGCACGAGGACATCTGTTCAAGTGCTGAGAGGAAGAGGGTAGCAATGATAATTCTTCCATTCCATAAGCATCAGAGACTTGATGGACATTTGGAAACAACACGAGCTGACTTGATACACGTAAACCGGAGGGTTCTCGAGCATGCGCCGTGTTCGGTTGGTATTTTAGTTGACCGGGGGCTTGGTGGTACTTCACATGTATCTGCAAGTAATGTTGAGTATACAATTGCAGTCTTCTTCTTTGGAGGCCATGATGATCGCGAAGCTCTTTCCTATGGTGCACGGATGGCCGAGCACCCTGGCATCAATTTGAACGTTGTTCAATTCAATACAGACCCTAAGGTAGCTGGGGAGACTGTCAAGCTAGATATTAAAGATCAAGATTGTTCCGAAGCTAGAGCAGAGGATGAAGAATTTCTTGCAGTGTTTAAGGAGAAAGTATCAAAGGACAGCTCAATCAAATTTGAAGAGAGAACGATAAAAGATGCTCAGGAAACTGTTGATGTGATTCGCTCATATACCCGTTGCAATCTGTTTCTCGTGGGGAGAATGCCGGAGGGTCAATTCGTGGCAGCTCTTGACAGAAGGAGGGAGTTCCCAGAGTTGGGACCAGTCGGGAATTTGTTAATTTCCACAGATTTTTCGACCACAGCATCAGTTCTGGTGGTGCAGCAGTACCGGAGCCAGCTTCCTCTGGATTCGCTGAATTCCCTTAAGGAAGATGATACGACGGAGGGCGGATACGATTCGCAGTAATTGTCTTTTCTATACGGAGTTTCGATCATATGTATAGATTTAGTCTTCAAAGAATGAAGCTTATACATACACGAATGCACTGTATTTCTTGATCTTGCCTTTGCATTTCTGTTGTGTATTTCAGTAAAATGCATAATAAAAGTTCAAAGATCATTTGCTGTCTATCAAGAGTTTGAATTTGTTTGTAGAATTCTTACTTCATTATTAAAATCTCTCTCTCAAAAGAATGTTATGTCATATTTAACCGAAAAACTCGGCCATGGCGGTTAGATAGATTTGAACTAAATCTCCTAATCCTCACTGATCTTCATCTATAAAACTCCAGCTACAGACCGAAGATTTCTTCAGCTATACATAAGGTAATTCTCCTTTCTGTTTACGTTCTAAGCACTAATATGTTTGTGTCTCTATTTATATATACGCGTGTGTATTTCAGGTTAAAGTTATTGATGATTACATTATGAATTTGGTTTATGAGGGATTGAGGTAGCTTTCATAGGCTGCCCATTTTTTTTATATCTCCAACCTTTGATTAAGTTTTTGCTGAAGAGAATTTGATCTTTAGGACCTGTGATTAGTCAGTTTGTGATGAATTTCTTAGTCATGCACTGCATCTTAAGTGAAATTTTTTGGGCTTGAGATGGTATAAAAATATTGGTGTTACTGATTTAGTGCGCTTCATCTTTTTCAACTCCATCTCACGTTTTATTGATAATAAACATTACCAACTCCTTATGGATATATATGAATGGAGCTTCTGGGTTCTATTGCTAGGATGCTCGATCCACTTTGGCAACCATTTCACACTTGATAATTTTTGTTTATTTTTAATCGTTTGTAATATAGTTTGAAATGAAGAATCTTTATAGATTCCTACAGAGTTTGAAGAGAAGTTATGTAGAATAAATACAACATTTAAGCATTGAGTGTTTCTGCTCTTCGAGCACATAATATCCAGATACCAAATATGAGAAAAATGTGGATCTCGAGATGGATGGGTAGCTATTCTTTAAAGGAAATGAATGATGGATATCCATGTCAGGTAGCGGTGATAGCAAGTGAGGAGAAATTAAGGGGATGGGCGTCTGAGATGATACTTTTTGCCTAAAGTTAAAGAAATTTCTCATTTACTGGAATGTTGGTATTCCTGTAAGAAGTTGGAGTATAGATTGATCAATCAAAATTATCATTAAAAGTTCCATTTTTATTTCATCGAGTGTCGTAAATATTGGACAGTATATTTTATGGGATTAGATTTTTGCATTTGGTCCCCATGGTTGAACAAGCAAATATAACAATTTTTTTCCTGAAGTAGATTAACTATTGTTTTGGGAAATAGAATCTATGTACTTGTATGGTTTATGTGATCTCTATGTAAATGGGGTCTGTTTAAGTGGTATTGAAATTTGAAAAAAGCTGCAGTTACAGGGAAAAAAATAGAATTTGTACCGGAATTTGAATTCCACTCACATGGGAGGCGGGCCCATGTGAATTAAATATTGCCAAAAAATCGGGGCCCACCTGTTTTTGTGTATTATGTCCGGCTTCTGTGGGTACTTTTCCTGTACCCATAGCATTGCTCATTGAAATTTATCCACCTAAAGATATCAGCCTGAATGATTCATGTTGCACAGGATTGGAGTGAGAAACTGATCTTCTTAATTTGGATTCTTGCTACAATGGCATTAAATGGTGAAGCAGGGTATACTTGCCCTTCTCCAGTGAAGGCCACATCTAATGGTGTATTCCAGGGGGCTAACCCACTGGACTTTGCTCTTCCCCTTGCAATCTTGCAGATATGTCTAGTCATTGTAGTCACCAGAGGTCTTGCTTTTCTACTGATGCCACTTAGACAACCACGAGTATTGCTGAGACTATCGTAAGCTCCTTGCTTTTTGTTTTTGTAGTATTTAAATGCATCCATACGTTGAAAAATTCATCGTGAGGATTTGAGAGAACAAGTACACGGGAAATGAATCTAACATGGACTAACTATTAACCAGTGTTTGTTGTTTCACTCAAAAGGCTTGGATCATAATGCTAATGTCCTCAACTTTGGCTTGCACTTACTGGTAACTGGTTACCATGATGAATTAACTATGGTCGAGCAGGATTTTTTTTTCATTTATGAACTGTACATAAATAAGTATATTGTCTAATAGGCTTACAAATTTAAATGTTCAAAGGCACTGTGTCTTATCATAAATGCCTTGACTTTCACATGTTGATGCATATACTAAACTCACATCAAGAAGTCATGTAGTTTTGAGGTAAAAGTCATATTTGATGTACGCGGTTGCACATTCTCATTTTCATTTATGTAATTATTCTGGTGCGCATTATTCATGAAATTCGTACTTCTCCTTTTCCCTTCCCACTTCCATTAGTATGTCATGAAAAAATCATTTGAGCTGGTGTCGCTGGCAACTAACAGTGTATCTTAATGTTCAGGGAGGAATATTAGTTGGACCATCTGCTCTTGGTAGAAATAAAAGCTATTTGGCTGCAATATTCCCGCCAAAGAGCATTACCATGTTAGTTACTCTAGCAAATATTGGTTTCTTGTTCTTTCTTTTTCAAGCTGGCTTAGAACTGGATACCAAATTCCCTGTCTAGAACTGGTAAAAAAGCTCTCAGCATAGCCATTGCAGGGATCAGCCTCCCATTTGCGTTAGGAATTGGTTCATCATTTGTCCTCCGAGCAACCATATCAAAAGGTATATTAGCCCTTTCAATAACTGCATTCCCTGTTTTGGCTCGAATCTTGGCTGAACTGAAGCTTTTAACAACTGATGTTGAAAGAATGGCCGCGTCTGCAGCGGCAGTAAATGACGTAGCCGCATGGATCCTGCTTGCCCTTGCGCATGCCCTACGGGGAAGTTGCTTTGGCATTATATGGAAGGGGCGAATGCCCAGAGCTAGGTCCTGTTGGGATTTGTCAACATCACCAGAGTTCTCTACAACAGCATCAGTCCTCATGGACCAACAATATCCGGAAAAGGTATTACGGATTCGACTTTAGAGACACTAGATAAGACACCTAATAGAGACTTAGGATCCATAGACTGAACCCTTTTTCAAGTTTTAGAAATATTTTATTCTTGAAAATAGAACTTAAATAATTGTTTTCAGAATCTGAGTTTAAATATGTTCGTGCAAGCATCTAACAGTAACTTAGGATATCTTGATTTTCTCTTCTCAGAATATTCTGTTACTTACAATCTTGGCTATCTTTTTTCTACCTAATTCACCTACACATCAAATTGGAGATTTCATAGTTCAATAGGTATCCATATAGTTATTGTTGTCATTATATTGCTCAGCTGCACAATGTTTCCCATTCATTATGTGGTTTCGCCGAAATGATGGTTCTTATTCTCCGCAACTTCAGTTAGTTCTGTGTAGTATAAGAGCAGACAAACTGTCTGCGAATCCCATACTCTTAAGTAAACAGATAGCTCATAATGCTTATTCTATAGAAGCTCTAAAATAAAAGCCAACACTCATTTTCTACAATCGTCTCTAATTCGGATATTCAGGGAATCCTCCCTAATAGAAGAAATATTCATATTATGTCAAGGGAAATGCTACAGGTACATAGGGGATAACATAGAGGTTGACATAATGTGAGTGAGGTGGGGCCCGTGCTACAGTATCGTGGGTCCCACCCCCACACACATTATGTCATCTTCTATGTTAATGGCTATGTACCCATAGATTAATTCTTATGTCAAATGCCAATATAAGTTTGAACTTTCTGGTATTTTCCGTTTCTTCACTTATTTATATGGAGGGCGTCGTAGATTGGATTTCATTATTTTGTGTAGTAGTTGCATTGCATGTGTGGAATAATTATAATCAAACTAGATTATTAAGTGCTCAAAGTTTCAATTGTTTCCTGTTTTTTTCAGCACTTCATAAATAAATACAATTTTGTGAAATATTTGTTTAAGATGTTGCTAAGCCAAAGTTACCCACTTGACAGTTGCCCATCTTGTATGGAAAAACTTGTTTATCATATGCCGGGTACTCTTTGGCAAGAAACCTGCAATTCGAAACATGAGATAATGAATAGTTATTGTAAATAAGATATTATCTTCAAGGTAAAACAAAGTAGTAAAAACAATAAAATAATTTTACACATAAACCTAAAATTTTTCTTTACTTTTTGACCACGCATTTTTCAGAAAATTACTATTCTAAAATATATTAACCTAGAAAATGGGGTTCAAGCAAACCCATAGCTCTGACTACCATCACATGCATCAAATGTGTGGTTAATTAGCATTTTATGACGCAGAACGAAAGTTTTAGATTTTACCAGTATAATCCCCAACAAAAGAAAATTGTAAATTTCAAGAAAATAACCTCAAAAATGGAATTGTATTATTCAAAAAAAATAAAGAGCCTTTAAATAGTCTCTGAAAACCCTAATTTAAGCAAAAAGACCAAAATAGACACCCACTTAATTAAAACAATTAAAAGTGAAAAAAAAACAAAAACTTCAATTGCCCGGTAGACTACCTTAAACTGTAAATTTGAGACTGAAAACGACATCAACCGGGGCACTCGGGTTACGACGTTGTAGAGCGCTATGAGAAATTTTCGAAAACATATTATAATAGAAATTCTGACACTGGTGTAAAAAGTCATGCTCGTTTCTTCGAAACATCTCGTTTTGCCAATTTTCGGTCCAATTTTTCTTCAAACTCTAACGCCAATTGTCCTACATCATTTTAATTGGATCGGATCGGATTGAGTTGGATTGTTCAGACAAGTAAAGGGTGCCAACGAGCAAATGCACATTGCTAAAACGTTAATGACAACGTGCAATGCACGTTGTTAAAACAATTGACGACAACGGCTCGTAAATATTGCAAAATGACACATCAACAATATGCATTAAAGAACGTTGTCAAATTTCAATTGATTTCACCACAACCTTTCCTTTGGAACCTAATGAAATAAATCCCGGTTTTTAGCCTTGTGTTATTGCATAAGAATGTTCGGGACCTGGACATCAAACATGACACAAGATTATATATGTTACACTTATCCATTCACATCACAAATCATAATCTTCAATTTTGCTGAAGATAATATTTAAATAAATAAATGTGTCACATCTACGTTTTTAGTAGAATTTGCAATTAATATGTTATGCTGCCAAACCCGAGCTTGTTTGGAAACGAATTAATTGGTCTTTCATATAAGAGGATATGCTGAAGATAACATTTAAATAAGTGTCTCATCCTTACCTGTTTAAGCTTTAAACTTAATTAGTTAACGAATTTGGACACTGATGTCAATAATACAGAATATCTTGACTATGGACAGCAAGAAGAACAAAGACCCCTTGTCTGTAATTGCTAAACTTAAGTTTCCCTTTTAAATAATCTCCAATGTTTTGATGTTAAGAATATAATATCAGACGAGATCACCCAAAAAGTATCTCGACTGATATTGTATGAGAGCAATACTGTCTAGTATCTTCAAATCCACCTTCTTGATCTTGCCATAATGTGCGGTTTAGCATGGAAACCGTCTATATATTCCTCACAAGTTGAACCTACAGACCTACACCATAGCCATAGCCATGATACAGTTTGTGAAGAAATCTTGTTGCATTCTTTTCTTTCTCCTCATAATCTGTTGTGTTTCTATCCATTCCAAGACACAAAAACCAGAAGAACCGTGCAAGCTAATCGTACTCTATTACCATGACCTCCTATTCAATGGCACAGATCTTGCAAATGCAACTTTCGCAAAAGTTACAAATGGCACTCAACTTGGTTCCCAGTTTGGCATGATGGTCGTTTTCGACTATCCTATGACGAAAGATGGTCATCTTCTTTGACCGCCGGTGACACGAGCTCGAGGCTTCTATTTCTATGACAAGAAGGATACTTACAATGCCTGGTTTGCGTACACTATGATATTCTCTACTGAGTGTAAAAGGACCTTAAGCATCATGGGTGCGGACCCTCTGCCAGAGAAAACTCGGGACCTTTCGGTAGTCGGAAGCACCTGAGATTTCTTCATGGCAAGAGGGATTGCAACATTTAGAACAGACGATTTGCAGGGTGATTTCTATTTTAGACTCCAGATGGATATTAAGTTGTATGAATGCTATAAGACTTAGGTACAAGTTAGCTATGGGTTTAATTTTGCGTAGCAGTATGGCATGTAAGTCTTCGTTATTATCAGTATTAACAATGGAATGTTTTTGTGTTGGTCCCAGATTTTTTACTCAAAACTTTGTGACTCAACTGATTTAAAGTAAAAACGTAATAAAGTAATAAGAAAACAAAGAACGCACGAGAATTTTCGGCCAAAGGTCCCGGTGGTTCAGCTACCGATATCTAACGTGTAATTCCCTTGAGCATCCGTTAGGATTTTGCTCAAATCCACTGGCACAGCCCAAAACACGGGCAAGAATATCGATTGCAAAAGAATACCAAGTGTTCGAAGGAGTTCTTCCTCTCAACTCACTCTCTTCAATTCCACAAAGGAATCAAAACAACTCACAAATAAGGATAATTGTTATTGATTAACAAACCTGAAAATTCCACTCAAGAATTTACAAGAATGTTAATCTAGATGATAAAACTATCAAAACAGCATGAAGCAGAAAACAGAGAATATAAAGAGGCTAGGGTTTTTCTCAAAAACTCGTCCAAAATGACTTCTAGATGGTATATGTATGAATCCATCCAACCCTGCATCCGACGCAATAAGTTCTCCACGCGTCAGCCATCCGTTTGGCTTAAGTTACAAATACAAGTCATGTCTAAGACACGATTTCTCATGATCTGGAACCTTCACGGGAAAAATTCATTTCTCGAATATTTACTATATACTATTTCAAAAATAAGAAAACAACTTTCAAATTTCTAAAATCGGATATTTGACACACACACACACAGACATACACACATACATACATACATACATATATGTATGTATGTATGTATGTATGTATGTGTGTATGTCTGTGTGTGTGTGTGTCAAATATCCGATTTTAGAAATTTGAAAGTTGTTTTCTTATTTTTGAAATAGTATATAGTAAATATTCGAGAAATGAATTTTTCCCGTGAAGGTTCCAGATCATGAGAAATCGTGTGTCTTAGACATGACTTTTGTATGTATGTATGTATGTGTGTATGTCTATGTATGTGTGTATGTCTATGTATGTATGTGTGTGTGTGTCAAATATCCGATTTTAGAAATTTGAAAGTTGTTTTCTTATTTTTGATATACTATGTATGTATGTGTGTATGTCTGTGTGTGTGTGTCAAATATTCGATTTATATATATAAAATTAATCCACCCACCTCCACCATCTCTACCGTTCCAACGACTATTTCGATTTCGAAGACTATTTCGGTGATTGTTCTCGCGACTGCTCCGATTTCGGTGAATATTCCGGTGACCGTTTTGTCGCTGATTTATTCTGACGGATGCTCCGATTCCGGCAATTGTTCCAACTCCGACGAATATTCCGGCGACAACTCCATATATTTTTTTGTACAGTTGACACGATTTTTGATCTCTTGATTGTTGCTTGTGACTAGTAATATAAAATGTTGCCTGTAAATTTGAAGAGTGACTCTACAAACACATGTGACCACTTAATATTAATTGGAAAAATTGCGGCCGTGGTCCCAAACCTTTCATTTTGTTGCAGATTACACCCAAACATTTTATTTTTGCTGTCGAAATCCCAAACCTTTATATGTAGTTGCAGCGTCGGTCCCAAACCTTTAATTCCGTCCATAAAACCGTCATTCAACGTTTCAACAGTAATTTTGACTCAAAAAAATTGCAACGCTGGTCCTAAACCTTTCATTTTGTTGCAGATTACACC